TTTCATAATTTTTGCAACAATACCACTCTAGTAACACCAATTGGGTACCCATCCTGAATGTTTTATTTTACCCTAAGCTTAATCTTACAAATAAATATGTTTCGTAACAGGCTCCCGAGATCTCGTTGTGAGCGCGAGAGCCATGCCCATTGTTTATATAGTTTTAAATTTAGTATTAAGTTTATATATGACTTTTTTTCTCACTTTATTGGATAAAATAACTTGTGGTACCTGTTATTGAAAAGTCACATTCTCATTGGTCGATCTGTACCTCGTGCATATAATGATAACTGAGCAGTGTTTAAGGCCAATGCAAAATGCGGTCAAAATGACAACTCTGTTTGTATGTCATGTGATTGATCTATTTTTAATGTTGTAAAATGTATAAACATCAAACCCAACAAGATTTTTTTCAGGCTAGAAAATGCCGACAATTATCTTGAAATGTACCTTTTTGCTAATGATCCAAAAGACGTAACTAAAATGTGTTCCTTAAGCTATCACTGCACATATATTCTATTTGTTGTCAGTTCATGGTATTACAATAAGGAATTCGCACTGCACATCTTTGCGTGTTATAAATCACCACTATCAGAATTAAATCAGAGGTTTAAATCATAGCTTTACCTTCTTATATGATAATGTAAACCTCTAAGTGTCTTCGTCTTGTTCATTACTACATATATATGTTAAAGGAGCCGTCACCATATCTCTGCCACAAGAGGGAGATATTCAACAATTTCCAGATGTGAAGTAAAATCCATTTCGTACTAAATTTTATTTTCAGTGGGTAGAGAATGTATTGTAAATAAGCCACGTTTATATGCATCACATGGAACATGTCGGACATGAAGCATATACTTTTTAGGTAGTTAATCTCCATTAAAACATATATATAGATTCTGAATATGGATTGTTGAAAGGATATTCACTTGATTTTAAATTCCCTATTTGTGAAGGAAACAATGCATTATATAAACTACGTTGTTTGATGAAAGATTTTTAATATGGTTTTAGTTTCCATTTTAATGATGTGTTCATATACATATATAAAGTATATTGCTGGAGTTAGTGATGTTGCCATAACGACAACAGGCACATTTGGTTCACATGGCGAAGTAGTGTTATTTAAGCTTAACAGCTTACAGGTTTAAAGTGGACATTATAAACATATATTACAGAAATTTTTTTAATAGATTATTTACTAATTGTATTCAGTATTGGCATCTTCGAAATGTTTTCACTGTTTTAACTAGCACATTTCTGGTAATCACGTGTCAACGGCTGCAGCAATTGGCTGATCGCATGTTTACTCTGCCACGGCTTAGAGATTTATTGTAAGGTTTGTAAGATTTTGTAGAAGGAGAAGTAGAGAAGGAGACAACGAGTGCTGATGGTTTGGATGAATGAAGCTGGACTATTTGTAATGATCTACAGTGTATTCCTGGTATCTCTATGTATAAGTGTTATCAGCCAAGCGAGTCCATGAACGCTTTGTT